GACTTCGATGGTTCGATTCGATTGTACGGGGGGTAGACTGTGACGGCACCGTAAAATGCAAAGATTCCAATCGCCTGAACTTTTATAAGTCGTTTTGGATATTTATATTTAGATTCAATAACTCAAAAATCGGATTATGAAGTCTTAGAATTTTTAGGGAATTGCAAACATGTACGTAACACGAGTTAAGTGGTCGACCCTTAGTTCGCTTTATAATTATACAAAACGGGACTGTAATCAATAAATATAAAACTATTTTAGTGAATTATATGCACATTATGTAAATTCATTCGATTCCTCTCCCGGATCTATAAGATTTTATGTTTTAACAGGTTTAATATCATTTCTGGTACCGTAAAGTAAAACGTAAAGTCCAACTAGGTGATCTACCGTGTCGAGATCTGGTTAAATGGAAACGCACCTCAGACCAGATAAGAGAGTCGAACCGGGGTGAGCCGTTGGGCCCGCTTATGTCAACATTGTTTGTCACTCCGCGACTCGTTTTACATGATCTTACGCTAGTTTTGATAATTGTGAAAATATATTTCAGTCCGTTGGATTGGTCCGAATCACACTAAGACCAATAAAAATGGTCATGGAAATTATTGGTAGGCAAGTGACAATAAACTGGTAACACCTCTCCGTCTGCAAAAGGACAACAAACATTAATAACGTCGATTAGCCTACCGTTAGTTATGTACCCGATTATGTACACGACCGTAGCTATGTCTTCATTTTAGTACTTGCTTTTACTAGATGCGCTGCCATTGTACGCACATCCTTTTGCACGAAATAACCCCCACGGTTGAGTATTACTAATTAGATCCGTTCGTATCAGTTCTATCAGCTCTAATCGAAATTGTAGGACATCTTACGGTCCCTCTTTGCAAGTATTGTCGCAACACTACGGCTTGTCGAAAGCTATTTTTGTGTAAGTCGAATACCCCCCCTTTTTTACCCCCTTATAAATAGTCGGGAAAACGAAACACTGTCAGTCTGTTGACCTTCATACACATCAATAAATCATACAAGATAAAAGAGAATGTGTAATGATATGCTACACTATTAACTCCTTTAATACTCTCCAATAATAAACTATAATGAAATAAAGAAGATAGTAGATAATGAAAGATAACAAGAGACTGACAAGTGACTTCGTCAGATAGAATTAATAAAAAAAGAAGGTAGAAGGTAATATACACAATAACACAAAAATCAGACTTTCGCGAAGCCAAGGTAGTGTTGCGACAATACTTGCAAAGAGACCGTAAGATGTCACTACGAATCGTTAGAGTGATAGAACTGATGAACGACTATAGTATACCACCCAGTTATTCGGGCAAAGAATGTAGCGTACAAATAATGGCCGCATCAAAAGCAATTACTAAAATGAAGACTACCGGTTACATCGGTACATAACTACAGTAGGCTATCGACGTTATTATGTTTTTGTCATGTCCGTTTGCAGACGGAGAGGTGTTACCAGTTGGGATTGGCACGTCGTGGCCTAGCCAATAATTTTCATTCCATTTTTTATTGTCTGGAGGTGTGATTCGCGGACCTCAATCGACAGACGGACTGAAAATAGATTCACAAAATATCACAAACTAGCTAAGATCAGTAAAACGAGTCGGCGATACTACATGTTGGACATAAGCGGCCAACCGCTCACCCCGTTCGGACTTCTCTTATCTGTCTGAGGCGGTTTCCATTTTAACACAGATCTCACAGAGATCACATAGTGGACTTTACCGTTTACTTACGCCAGAATGATATTAAACCTGTATAAAACATAAAATCTTATAGAATCCGGGGAGAGGGAATCGACTGAATTTACATAATGGGTGCAATATTACACTTCACTATAGTTTTATTTTATTGGATTACAGTCACGTTGTATAATTATAAACGAACTAAGTGCACAACTTAAATCGTCGTTAACGGTATGTTTGCAATTCCCCTAAAATCTAAGACTTCATATCCGCCGATATTTTGGAGTTATGAATTAAGGAATAAATACATCATAAACGAGTATGAAAGTTCCAGGGCTATTGATCTGTGCATATTTACGGTTGCCGTTTCACACGTCTACCCCCGGTACAGACGCGAAATCCGACATCGGAAGTCGAGCGAGACCTGAAAAGTCGAGCCACCGCCCTCCAGGGCGGAGCCCGAGACGGAGAACGGGAAAAACTCATCGCCCCAACTTGAGACTTGCAGTCACAGCTTTCGGCAATCACCGGCTGAGGTGGATGATTCCCGAACAGAGCCGTGAGACGTCTTAGGATACCCACTGGCAGTGCCTGGGGATGCAGGTAACATGTCAAATACCACAACTGCCGATATGTGAGAAGAAAAAAAAGCTCCCCCAGCCCCAGTCTCCCGGATCCATATTTTCGTATCTGAGCATATATGGTACTTACCCTGGCATCGACAGGCACATGCAGTGGGATCCTAATACGTCTCAACTGCTCTTCCGGGAGCATCATCCCGTCAGCCTGGCGTGATTTACCCGAACTGTCGCTTGTAGTCTCAGATTAGGGCGACGAGGTTTATTCCGTTCTCGCCTCGGCTTCCGCCCTGCGACCGCGGAGGCTTGACCTTCATTTGTCTCGATCGAGTCCGATTCTTCGATTCGATTGACTTTTATATATACGTATGTTCAATGACGATGTCACAATCAAGGGGATATATTTGTAAGTATGTGACATTCAGTTTACTCTGTCTAGGAGCGTTCTCTTAATCGATATAAACAATTTGGAGGACTTACGAACAAAGGGTGCAATTCTTTTCTTATGGCTATGTATCGTTTTCCCTTGTCAACCACGCTACAAGTCGAAGTATTCGACAAGGGAAACGAGTTGTATTAGAATAAATTCGGATGAATGATCGTGTTCGTGTACGGTTCGGGCTTAGGGAACTTTCAGCTCGGTGGCGGGAGGTCCCGCCTCGGCTCTGCCTCTTTGCCCTTATTTGGAGTAGGCGGGAGTTGAACTCTGACGTCAGTGTCGAGCCGTTAGTGGCCGACTCCGCCTACTAAGGGCTTCTCGGCAACTCTGCAGAATCCTATGGGTGACGTCACGGACCCTACGTCCATTTACAGTTTATGGTTGTGACGTTATAACTCTTCTTTTTTTTTCGAGGGGTGGGGGGGTCAGAGGGCCTAGGTATAAAAGCATAGACTGTATATATAAATGGACGTAGTGTCCGTGACGTCACCCATAGGATTCTGCAGAGTTGCCGAGAAGCCCTTAGTAGGCGGAGTCGGCCACTAATGGCTTGACAGCGACGTCAGAGTCTAATCCCGCCTGCTCCAAATAAGGGCAACGAGGCGGAGCCGAGGCGAGACCTGCTGCCTCCGAACTGGAAGTAAACAGAGCTAGCTCAGGCTAAGAAGCTAAGCTAACATGAAATACATGCATACCAAGTTACTGCTAACAGTGTAGTTCCCCTATTTAAACGTTACATTCATAATCAAATGAGACAATCTGCAAGAGAATTAGCTATATTTTGTTATTCTTAATGCTTGTCATTCACATGTTAAGAAAAGACGGACTCCACCGCCCGGACCTAACGGAGTCGCAGTGGGCTAGCTCCGGGACGCCGGCTGGAGCTAGCCCCCTGCGGCTCCGTTAGCTCCGGCGGCCACCACTGGGATAATTGGGTCCCCTATTAACATTTGCTCACGTTTAGCATTATGGGCGTCATAGCCATAGACTATAAAAGTCTTACCCAAGGCTGAATCATAAACTAAAATGTATATGTATGTATAAAGGGTTACGTCCTTAGCTGGCTAATAAGTAACAAGCTAAGCTACCAAGCACACAAACACCTGCGAACGGGACATGTATAATATTATCATTTTAGACTTGGTTTTAGCCTAGCAGAGTGGACAAGTTGCTGTTAGCTGACAGTGAGGCATGTACATGTCCATCAAAGTGACCACGCCCTAATTTATGCAAAAGCTTTAAGGCTTAATATTAATTAAACAGATGAGTTGAGAAAAAATTCACCCCCCAATCCATATTCATGAAGGGGGGATCTAACTATACAGAGAATATGTTTTTTTGAACCACGATGTAAACATGTTTATTTCTGCTGTAAAGTTGGGCATTTTAACATGGGGGTCTATGGAAATTGCTCCCTTCTGCAGACTGCTCCTACTGGCCACTAGATGAACTGCAGTTTGAGGCACTTCCGTATTCGCGTCCCGGCTCTTCCCCAGAGTTTGCCGCTTGGGCTGTACTTTGCTCCACCCTTGTGGCACTGCTGGTTCCAAAAAAAACAGATGGAAACTGCCAAAATGCCAAACATGAGTCTTCAAAACGTGTTGGCTTCTCTTCTATGTTCCACACAAAGGGCTTAAAGTCAAGAAACCTTGCCCTGCCTTTTTGTGTGTCTTTTGGGAGTCCTTCAATTTTATGTATAACCCTAACCATGCTAAATGTCAGTATGTTAGCATTGCCATTGTAAGCATGTTAGCATGCACATGTTAGCATTTAGCTCAAAGCTACTGTAACATGGCTGTAGAGAATGATTTATTGAATAAAGGCCCATTATGATAGTCACTATTTTCAGCCCAATCCCCACAATCAGAATCCATGGTACTTTATTTATCACTGGTTAAAATGTTTTATAAAACAATAAAATAAACACTGATAAAGTGGCCGCATTGTTACCATTTCCACTCTGCATTTTGCGTGCACTTCAGAGTGACAGCCATTTCCACACCCAGCAGAGCCACGCCTGTCAGCAGCAGCCAATAGAGTGGCTCCCCTTTCACGGCCACCACACGCCACACTGTCACCACCCCGTGCACCACAAACAGGAAGCGACTCAGCAGAGCCAGCAGGACGTTCAGGAGACGAAACATGGTGCACCGAAGGGAACCTGTACAGAAGATAGTTGTATTATTATGTTCGATTCAAATGTATAACTTACTTAAAATTATAGAAATGTGTTTAGTTGGTGTTGAGGTAGGTTGTAAAACTTTATTTTCTATGCCTTTTGTTTGGCATAGAGGTCAAATGTTTGATTGTGAAAAAAAGGGGGTGGTCAATGAGAGTGGTCTGTAACAAAAAGTCCCCTTACAATAAACTAAATGGGTCTACATACTAATGCCAAACCCTCAACCGTTTATAGTAGACTCTTGTGGGAGCCACCATTGGTCTAAACATAGACGTCCTTTTCCATTTTGCCAAAAGGTCAAGGGTCTGTGAAGTTCTGCATGTTCTGAGGTTGTGTATGTGTGAATACAGCCATTGCATGATTAAAAGGCCAAAATCTATAGATTTTTGGTGTCACGCAGATATAATTGAATCCAGTTGGGGGTCAGATGTGGCATACAGTCATTTGAAAATCCTATTTGTGTGCCATATTTGCTATTCAACACATCATTATTGCAAGACTAAAGAAAGTTGAGGCATACTCAGAAAACTTTTGTTAACAATGTCTCAAAAGTTGCAACAATAAAGGCCTTTATGTCCTTTCAAAACTAATATAGTTTTAGTGTAACACACTTAATGTCAAACAATAAAAGCTTTTGCCAAGCTAATAATTGAAAAGTTCCAAAGGCCACTTTATTTTTGATTGCATTTTGCAATACATTTAAGGAATAAAGTGTCACAGAATAAAGTGTCAGCCAGCCAAAAGCCAATTCAACTATAAAATGATTTACACTCTTATGTAAGCGCCTGCATCAGTAGAAAATCATTCCCCTGGTTTAGTTTTCATGATCAATAACTATTGCATGAGCTTAGTGTACAAACAGTCCTCACTGTCAATTAGTCAGCTTATGATAAAAGCTGCTGAGCTTCTAGGGAATTCAGAGCAAGCTGTGATTAGTAAGCAAGAGTTAGAAAAACGGATCTACATTGAAAATTAAAAGACTCCAGCTTTGCCTGAGTTGCCTAAATCTGATCTCTGGACCCCCTGTTGAGTATTGTGATGGTTTACGACTTGAAGGTGGTTCCCTACTGGTGTAAATGATATAACCCAGTTTAGGGTTATATAAGGAAGATAATTTGCAAGTTATATTCCTCCCTTGTTTACTGTTGGTATTTACACTGTCACCATGTTAAAAACAAAATGCCAATAACAGTCCTCTTTGAAATGACACTCTTTAAAAGTGGTTAATAAAATGTATTTATATTGTATAGATCAGACACCGACCATTAATAAGAATAATGTTTTGGTTGGCAGGTTGTTAAAGATCTCTTTCTATAGTAAAAAATATATGTTTGGCTTATGTTGAATTCATGTTTTGTCAAGACAGCATTTTATTTCTCAACAAGTGCACATTATAGTACAAGATTGGATATTTTACTGGCACAATCATGCTCGAAATGTGTGCCATTTCAGGTTCATTTGTATCGATTATTCATCGTGTTTCTGTCCAACAAAACATAACCCAAGAATGATGTCCCTTAAAACATTATTTTGTCACAAATTAGCTATATTTAAATGTATTTATTAGGGATGCCAGTGATTATTCGATTATTCGAATATTCGTTACAGTCTCCATAATCGAATATTATTTTTTAAAATCGATTTTATTTATATATTTTTTTATTATTATTTATGTTTTTTTGTTTTTTTCTGGCTTAGTTTCAACCAAAATATAAACTAATGCTAATAATAGTAATAGTATTAATAATTGTAAATGGCCATTGGTCACACCACCAGTTTGTTTTACTGTAAACTGCTGCAGCACGCTACACACCAACCCCGCCCCCACCCCCCCTCTCCCTCACACGTGCGACTAAAGATGAACAAAGGGCAGGTAAAAAGAGTTCCTCCTCGTGGAACTACTTCGAACTTACAGGCTACAGCCTGTATTAATAATAGCATTGCAATAAATAAATACATTGCTATAATAATATTTATTGCAATGCTGCTATTATTAATACAAGCTGTAGCCTGTATTTAATAATGGCAGCATCAGTGGCGGATTTAGGATTGTAGGAGATCCGGGGCTTAGCCCAAGAGTTGTTGGGGGGGCGAACATCCTTTAGGGGGTCGTCGCTTCCTCTAGGAGGGTCCGGGGGCATGCTCCCCCGGGATGATTTTTTTTTAAATGTTGAAGTTAAAAGCATCAATCTGGTGCACTTTGAGAGCAACATTAACCCTACCTTAATAATACCTTAAAGTGGACAAAAGGCACTGGAGAACACTCAGTGTTTCCCCTAT